CCCCCCCCCTTAGAAAAGAATCATTATAATGCGTACTTTTTCCTTCTTCCGGAAATTACACAATGAAAATGAAGGAGCGGCAACTGGAAAACCGGAAGGATCTAGCACTATAAGAGTGTAAATAACCCTTTTATGAACACTAAACGTATAATATTCTAAACGATATAGAAGTTATAATTCAAAAATATAAGCCTACCAATGAATCACAGTGGAATATTAAGCTTTTATCTAAGACTGTCCATGTAATCACATTGAACAGTAATGCAAAAAAAAATCACCGTGGGTATCCCTCAGGACTATCAAAAAAAGGTTCTCAACTATTTAGACAAAGATATCTTTTGGCTCTGTGATAGACACCATAAGGTTTAGCATTCTTCACGGAACAATGTTAAGGCGTCAGTGACAAAAACAAATTTGAAAAGAATCTACAGCGTGCTTAGAAAAGATATGAAACTTCAAGGCAAAAGAAAAATGAAGACAAAAGAAGAACGTTTTCATTTTTATAAAGTAAAAAATAATAAATTTACTTTATAAAGAAAAACAATCAGTAAAGTTTTAAAAAATCATTAAACCATCTATAAAAATCCATAAATTAGCCTATTAAAAAAAAGAAGATATTAGATATGCAAAACCAATTTTATAACCACTCACTATAATTCAGTTTCTCATTAGTGTGGTGTGTCCAAAGCGTTTTATGTCTAATTAGCGAGACTTTAGACATTTTTGCGTACCTATATTGACCTATAGAGCCGTTTAGCACGCGCACACACATTAATTTTTGGTTCTTAAATGAACCCATAAATAATAAAGTTTTTAACCCACCGCCAAAATACATAAATAATGCTTACTATTAGTTTGTTACGCGCAGTCCATAATCGAACATTGTATGGGATACAATAAACGATGTACTGGGAAAAAAGGGATGATATTGTCATCTTAAAATTAAAAAAAAAGTAAAGCATACTCCCTGATTTAACCTTTCACAAGTAAACATACGCATTGGAAACATTAGTAAAAACCGCATTAAAAATAATAGACCACCGCTTATAAATAAGCTTTAAAACCCCAATAAATTAATCTATCGAAAGCATTATATCATTAAATAAAATCAAAGAAACTATTAATGGCAATGCCATGTAACAAAAAAAAAAAGAGAAAAAGTGTATATGCAGAAATATTTCCGCCAAGCATAGAACACATGTTCAGTACCGAAAGGAGAAAGAAGACAATAAAATTTGCTTCTCAATTCAACTATGCCTAAAATTGGAAATAGATCAACTAGGTGACTCTTTTTTCAATTAATTATTAAAGAAATTACGGGAAGAATCGGCAACAAAGAAAAGTAGAACTATGAAGTTAATCATAGCCATTTACCGATTATCGCCATTAACAGCATGCCCGTCCAGAGTGATACGAACATCGCAATCTTCTTGATCGTCTTCCTGGGCATATTATCAGAACAGTGCGCCTTAACATCACGCGAAAAGTCCGAGAAAAGCAGGCTGAAGGCGAGGTATAGCAAAATGCCACCGCAGAAGCTCCCGAGTGATCCCAACATTAACGCGAACCACCCACCCGTCATCGCATCCCTTCGAATGCTCACGGCGACGGTGGAAATCGTCATCCCGAGAGGCCCACCGACAGAAAAAATCATCACAAGGACGATATCCCAAAGGCGTGATAATTTTGCCTCAGCTAGACGCGAGCCAAGCGCCATGCCCTCGAAAAGCTGATGAAAAACCAACGCCACGAGTAACGGTTTTAACGAGCTGTCCATTGTGAGGCCCATATTCAAACCGACAAAAATACTGTGAAGGGTGACACCGAACTCGAGCGAGATGGCCGAGATCACACGATGAAGTTGAACCATCGACGTCGGAGGGAGTACCCCACCGTGATGATGCCCACACTCCGGAGATGATTCGTCCTCTTTGTGGATCGTCTCGCCCGCTTCGCTCAAAGTGCCGTAATTCTCTTGACACCCTACCTTTCCCTCTGCCGAGGTTTGGGATTGGCTCTGCTGCTTCAACCATCCTTTGGCGATCTCATCGAGTTTAAAATCCACTGCGTGCATGATTAACGCGGCCAAGACCACCAAAAAGAATCCATATGGACCATAAAAGTGTTGCAGTGACTGTGGGACACAGGGCTCGTTGAGCGTCTCCACGGCCTCCCCAATAAGGTGAATGGTAGAAACGGCGAGCAACACCCCTGTTGCCGCGGTCTTGGCGAGGACAAAGATAAAGGGGTTCTCGCGAAGTAACGGGACGGACCTCGTGATGATCGGCAGGAGCGTGCCTAAAAGGGAAGAAAGAAGAACAATGAAGATGGCCGTAACGTGAAGCGGCATGGAGTACTTCCCGTCGAGACCATCGCAGAGGGAGTGCCCGTGTGCGTGTGTGTGCCCATGGGCGGAGCTAGAGTAATCCTGGGAAAGGTCGGTGAAATCGTGGGCGTGGCCGAAGTGATCGTGGGCGTGGCCAGTGTGATCGTGGGCGTGGCCGAAGTGATCGTGGGCGTGGCCAGTGTGATCGTGGGCGTGGCCGAAGTGATCGTGGGCGGACATAGGGAAGAGGAGTTACACAACGAACGAGGTGATGAATAGACAAAAAAGCCTTGAGAAACTTGAAAATGATTTGAAGGGAATTGTAGCGATTTTATGGAGTACGTGAAATCAAGCTGTTACAAACAACGTTGGGAAGAGAAAGAAGAGCATCCGTATAGACAATAAGCTAGAACTGCAGTGTAGAATGTTCACACAGTTTGTACTTCATACCATGACAACAGCACAGCGCCAGTTGTCTCCATCGCACACTGATGAGCAGGCTCATCTGTATGTGTTCAAGGAAGCCCGTGCATAGGCTCGCATATTTATAAGTTGAAACATTTATTATATACATATACATATATATAGATAAATAGATAGAATATTTGCATTATCAAATGAAACTGAACGTGTTAAATAATTTAATCGATTTTAGGAAAATAGCGGTGAACGGTGTGCTCCTCCTTACAAGGTAGTCAAATTCTTCTTCCTTATTCAAACTCGAGGGTGGAGGTCAGGGAAAAAGTGGAGCTACATCACCACTCTCTGAAAGATAAAACATCCCTTGGAAGGCAATAATTGATATTATTATTTCTATTGGCTTCGCTTTTTGAGTTAATTAATTTGATATTGATTCAATTTTTGAAGTCATTTTTTTCTCGCTTTGGGGAAAAGGGTGCGTGAAGAGAACACTATAACTTCAGTAAAAGGATTTTTCACCGG